TATACTCTATTCGAGATCAAGTAATTACATCCTCAAGTTATATTTTGATTGTTATTCATTATATAAGTACTTTTAAATTTGGATTAATAAATATTCACTTAAGCACCTTGATATATAAATCGAATCAATAATTTCTTATAAAAGAAGATGTATACCACTAATTTAATTAAGTAGTAATTGTTCATATTGACAATTAATTCATTATATGTGTATTTAGACATTGAGATTTTTACATTGAATTATTATTTAATTAATTCTTAATAAAATAAAATAAAATAAAATAAAATTTGTGAATAATTGTGCTTAAGCAATAATAAGTAACAACACCACAGTCTTATAATAATTTTATCATACTCTTCTCCTCTTCAAACACTAAAATAATAACATTAATTGCAAAGAAAGAAACACATACACAAAATTAAATTCACATCAACATGAAAAATGGAGGATGCAATTTTGGTCGTAGTTGAAGCGATAGAGACCATTGTTGTTCCTCTCTCTACTTTCATAATAGCTTTTTCAAAACTAAACACAAATACAATAATCACCAAACTTATTAACCTTGCACCTTTTCGTGTTAGGCACAAGAAGGGTCCTTTTTATATCTGACCAAAATGTCTTTGATATATTTCTTTTGTTGTTCATCCATGAATTTTGGTTGAAAGCCATAAGTGCCTTCATAGAACTCTTCCTCTCGCTTACCATAAAACAAATTCTAACAATGATAATTTAGGGTAGGAGATATAAACATAGTATCAAAAAAGAATTTTGATTTTCTTTGAATGAGTATTTTGACGAGGTGAAAGGAGAAGAACTATTCTAAGATAGATCTAAAGAAGAAGAATGAGTCTAAAATAGAAGGATTGACAGTTTTACCATGGAATAAATATAGAATCGAAAAAAAAAAACAAAAAACATGAGAAAGATGAATGTGAAACAAATTCAAAGAAGGAGAATATGCCCAGAATAGATTTGAGGAAGAGGTAGATACAGGATGAGAAGGAAGATAGTGTAATTTTGTATCATGGATTTACGTAAAATCAATGTTTTTTTTTTATTAATATGTTACAAAATTAATAATTCCATACACTTGGACTTCTATCACTAACATAGAAACATCATCTTTTTATATTTTTAGATACAACTCATAAGGTCTTTGTAACACCCAAATAAAAATAATTTATTTTATTTTATTTTATTTATTTTTATTTTTATCTATTTGTTTGATTTTTTATTTAATTTAATGAAAATAAAAATAATAATAGTGATAAAATTGGGTAAAAATATTATTTGGATTTAATTGAAATTGATTTTGGAAAAAAGGGGTGAAAATTTAGATTATGGGGGTGTTTTTGAAAAGAAAATCAGAAACCGGGGGTCAAAATGTAATTTAAAAAAGTTGTGCCACATCAGCACCATGTCAGCAGCCACGTCAGCGGCCCGGTCAGCAGCCCCGGCCAACCAGGACGCGCCGCGTGGCAAGGAAACGCTGACCAGGGGACAGGCCACGTGGGCGATCTGTGTGCGCGCGATCGGACGACCCAGATCCGTTCCCGCGCGCACGGACGGCCCAGATCAAACATGCGCACGGACGGCCCAGATTCAATCAGGCACGGACAGCTCAGATTGCATCGCGATGGACGGTCCAGATTTAATCCTAATTAAATCACGATCGAACGGTCTAGATTTAATCTTGATGAACGGCTGAGATTAAAAGAAAAAGGGTATAAATAACCCCACCCACACCTAACCAGAAAACCCTAGCCGCCAGTCCCTTGCCGAAGAAGAAGAACCAGACGCCGGAGGAACCAGCCGCCGCCGCACCGGGGAAGTTTCCGACCGCTTATTGAGGTAAAATTTCTCCTCCCTGCTCATTTTTTGATGCTGAGTCCGCCTATGGCCAAACTGGAGCCAAACCATCGGCCAAACGGCCGAAAAATCCAGCCGAAACCCAGCGGCGCCGCCGCGCCCCTCCTCGATTTTTGCCTCCGATGAGGCCCTTCCCGGCCTCCGTTTGATGCAAATTTTATACCACCGTGATCACCGTTCTTTTCTCTACATGTTGATCGGAGCTAAACATCAAAACGCGACTCACGCCGGAGGAGCCGCTGCACCCGAGAGCACCGCCGCCGGTAAGTTTCAGTTTTTCGTGATTTTTCGGCCCACCGAGGGCCCTAGGGTTGTTCTATCGCGGGGACCGATGCAAGCGTGGCTGAATTCGGCCGAAAATGGCCAACCCGAGGTGAATCGCCGCCGTAAGCGGCGGCGCCGTCGCCGGAGCACGGCAGAGCCGCCGTGTTGGAATTGCGATATTGGCCGAAAGGGGGCCCTAGGTCTAATTTGGGATTTTTTGGGACACGTGCAAGTACCAGTAGTGCGTTTCAGTTCCCCGGGAAAATTCAAGGAAAATTAGGGACAGCCTGTAGGCGACTGTAGAGCAGTATTCAGA